CGTTCCCGCGGGGTCCCGGGGTCACGCGGGGCGGCGCCGGCCGACTTGGAGAAGTTGCTAGGGTCAGTCCGTCCCGCGCGGGCGCTGAGCCTCCAGCCGCCGCCGCTACCCCTTGCCTCGCACGCAGCGCCTGTGGCGGCGAGAGCAGCCGCACCTTCCTCCCCGGCCGCTGGGCCCGCCTCCTCCCCGCCCCCGCCGCCCAGCCCAGCCCAGCCCACCCCCGCCATCCCCCGTCCTCCCATCCCCCCACCAGAAGTCCCCCCCGCCCCCCCGGCCCCGCGCCGGCCCGCGCCCATCCCCCGCGGCGCCCACCGCGCCAGGCCCCGGACCCCGCAGCCGGCTCCCGGGGCGGCCCGCGCTCCCGTCCGCGTCCCCCGCCGTAGCCTCCTGCGCTTTCTTTCTAGGACTTCCCAACTAACTAACACCGAGAACTCCACGAGCTTCGAGTAAGCGCCTACCATGAGCTCGGCGCTCTGCCTGCCATCGTGGATGCGGTGCGTAAGGTCCAGTGCCTTCCCCAAAGAGCTGAGAGTGGGAAGACGCTTACTCGGGTACCACTAAGGACAGAAGCAGGCGGAATCTGAAGCCTCGTGCAGGCAGGAGAGACTGTTCGCCCCCTAACCTTCCTGAGAAGGGAGAGAGGGAGGAGCCGTAGGGTCCGGGAGAAATCGGACTTCCCAGGTGGACGCTGCAGGGTTTATTAGAGAAACCTGGGGAATCCAGAGGGCCCGGATGATGGGGAGGGGAGGACGCTCGGGAGAAGCGGGAGTGAGAGCTGTGTTCCCACCCTCGCTGTCCCTGCCTTTACAAAGGCTCTCGCGTAGAGAGGAGCGGGAAGGGGGAAGAGTTCGTGTGCTGGTGTGGGTGCCGCAAGGAGGAGGCGCCAAGACAGGACTAGATACGGAAGAATTTTCTTAGGGGAAATGGCTGTGGGATTAAACGCCAGGGGCTTCCAGAGAGCCAGGCTTCGCGCGAGTCTGATCCCAGTGAAGGAGCGAGGTAAGCAACATCCCAACCTCCCTGCAGCCTCAGGAAGATCATGGGTGAGTCCTACACCCAGAGTTACCCATCATAGGGGGCCCAATTCTCCTTGGTACCCACCTGCCTGAGCATCCGTGTCTCTACCAGCCCTTAGCTGGGAGCAGCCAGATGAGAAGTGTGGCCTTGGGCACAAACCCAGAGGTGAATTTCAGAGCACAACAGCCAGGGCCCTTCCTCAGTTAAACTCCCAGAAAGCTGGAGATGGTTGGAGATCTTCCAAGAAGATTCCCACAGCTGGCGATTCCCCAGTCTACAAGACACATGGAATCAACTTTCCCACACACACCTACAATTTTTAAATGAAGCCCCAAGGGTTTGCTGTGTTCAGACAGACCTGGCTCTCCACTTTCTACTGCCACAGGCTCTGGCCACACTGACCCCTCTCCACTACATAGGCTCTCCCTGGTCCTGTCTCCACTCGGGCACACGTGGCGGTGCCTCGGGGAATGTCTCCCACTCCACTCACCCTCCAGTTCCCAATTCAAGCATCACCTCCTCTAAGGAGCTTTTCCCCTTAGCACAGAGCTACCACCCTAGGATCTTCTTTATATGTTTTTCACCCTTGCTTCTTGTATCATGTTTTTTCATGCTGTTTCACAATGTTATGTTTTTGTTTTTGTTTTTTCTGATTATACAAGTAACACGTTCATTGCACAACTTGGGACATATAATCCAAATGTCTCCAATTCCTCCAGTCTTCAAGGGACACCTTCCCTTGATAGATAAGTAATCAGAGTCTGAGCCCCATCCCATGTGTATCAGTCTGGATCCAATCAGAAGAGAGAAACCACACAGCAATTAAGTGGTAAAAGTTTAATAGAAAGAATTATTAACTATGACAGGATTTGGAGCAATGAGGGATTGACAGGTTAGAAGTAAATAGAATGCAAAAGAAAACAGGAACAGCAGATACAAAGACTTTTAAAGCAGCCACTACCCCTGGGGCCGAGATAGAGCACCCAAGGATAAGGGTGCTCCCTTATCCCTCCCCTACCCCAGGCTCAGACCCAGACCTTGTTGGGGAGAGCATGGCTATGGTTCACTAAGTGCCAGGGAAGTCACTGTGGTATCACACCGGTGGAACTTGCTGGAAATCTATCCTCTAGGGTGTGGGGAAAGTTGTATAGAGGGAGATGTCTCATGGAAGCAGTTCGCTGCAAAACCACCCAGAAAGAGAGGTGCCAGAAGAAGCCGGTGCTGCCCTGCACTGCAGGATCCTGGTGCTGGAGAAACCCCTCAAAATGCAGGAGCCACAGCCAAGCGAGGCAACTGGCAGGCAGAGTTCTGCCCTCCTGCAAGTTCTACCCACACCCTGTACTGACAAAGCTAACGACGAGGCAGCTGGCAAGGGAAATTACATAAAAGGCCGAGATCCCTTTTTACAGAGATGGCAAAAAGGATGAATTTGGAGCTGACAGGCCGTGAGTCAGTGACAGGCATGCTGTGCAACCTCAGGAGAGTCCAGGCGTTGTCCAGCTTCCCCTCCTCAAATATGCCTGCCCAGTACTTAAGATCTTCTCTCCAAATCTCGCCTTGCTGGCCCTTCTTCCCTCCCCCCTGGGCTGCAAGTTGCCTCTTAGCATTTTCTCCTCCAGTTTTGCCCCAAGGGGGAGGCGTGGCCTCTTCCTTGCCTCGCTTCTCACAGCACGCTATGACCAAGTTGTGAGGTCACAGTTCACATCGGATTGAACAGACGTCTTGGGGAAACGGAAGGAAATTACAGAAGGGGAAAAGAAAAAAGCGAAAACCAAATAATGGTCCCAAAGAGACGAAACCATCCAGAGCCTCTCTCTCCTTAGTCCAAGCCCCATACAGGGCGCCAGTGTGTACCCCCGACCAGAGTCCAGGCCGCAGTGCCATCAGGGCCTAGCGAAGGAGAGAAAAAGTGTCTCCATACTTTTAGTGCCGCTAAATAACAAAATAAAAAATAAATATGGAGTGTCTCCATAATCTTAGTGCCACTCCATTAAATAAAAATAACCTGCAGAGATGAAGCTCTGTCTACAGTCAAGATGAACATCTGCATGATTAGGAAGTGAAATTAGCCCCCAATATACTGAAACTCATTCAGTTATTGATCCATTTATGGAGCCTTTACTCAGCACCTGTACCAGGCAGTAGGGATATAAGCTGTGTCACCGTTACAATCTGAGGGAGACAGATAGTAAACAAATCATTTTACAAATAGTTCTGTTTGTGTCTCTGCTAAAGATGCAGAGCATATAATGAGAGTTAAGCTAGCTCCAAGGGATTAGAGGGGGCCCAGCTGAGCTCTGAAGGATGATTGAGTTGGATCGATCATTCCAAGTAAAGGGAACGGTGAATTTGAAGCTCTGAGGTGCGACAGAGCTGGGCCCATTGGAAAGGAAGGGAGTAAGGACAGAGCAGCCAGAGATGAGGCCAAAGAAGCAGAGAAGAGTCAGTCACGCATGGTTTTGTTGGCATGTTAAGAATTTTGGATATTATCCTTTGAACAATAAGAACCTTCTGAAAGGTTTTAAGCACCAGTGTAGCTGGGGGGCTGGGGGCTGGAGAAGAGACTGGAGGGTATATTTGGGAGGGGTATGCAGAGAATATACAAGACTAGTGTTCAGAACAGAGTTTGAACCTGGAGATGAAGACAGAGAAATAACCAGCCCGGAGCAATCCAGTCTAACCCAGGGCCTGGCTGAGATGCCTGCGGGAAAGACTGGGAAAGAGACAGAACTCTCTGGAGACGGGGTCGAATCAGCAAAGAAAGCTGAGGGGGAAGAGCCAGGGAGCTGGGGGACCATCAGGAAGTTATGCTGGGTCATCTTCATTATAAAGCAGGATCGCTTCCCTGTAGAATAACCAAAGGCCCAATTAAAGCAAACCTACTCTCAAAGATAAACTCAAATCTCCACCCCTGGCAAAGACCAGAAGAGCCTGTTTTTAAAAGAGGCGGCCCCATTGTCCTCACCATCCACTCACTTCATAGCCACCGAAACTCTTTAGCTACAGTATCCTACTACTTACCAAAAAGTTAAGTGTTAGCTGTAACCCCACTCCCTAGAAATAACCATTCTGTCATATTCTCTTGCAGACTCTTCATACTTAAATTACTCAGATCTAAATTCCTTGCAGTAAGGGATCAGCCCAATTCATCTATTTATCCCCAGTAACTTTGTACATTTTCTGGCACCTAGAGGGTATCTAGCAATGTTAGCAGAATTGAAATTCATTTCCAAAATCTTTCCAGTACTGGGCAGGATTTCGTTGGACTTTCTGGTAGTAGGACACTTCAAAAAACAAGCCATCCTTCCTCTGTACTATGTCAGAAAGAGTTTTCTTAAAACACCTTTCTAGTTTTTGGAAGTTTTTTGTTTGTTTTGGAAGTTGTGGGGGGTTTTGTTCTCTTTTCTCTTTCCCAAAACCTAAGGAAAGAGAATATTCTTGCCAAGTAAACTCTCTGCCTCAGCCCGGGCCCCGCCAGAAATGACATTAGAAACACACACACACACACACACACACACACACACACACACACACAGTGGAATACCAGTTAAGAATGACTGTATTTAAAAAGAAACGAAATTGAGTTATTTGTAGTAAGGTGGATGGACCTAGAGTCTGTCATACAGAGTGAAGTAAGTCAGAAAGAAAAAGACAAATACCGTATGCTAACACATATGTATGGAATTTAAGAAAAAAAAAATGTCATGAAGAACCTAGGGGTAAGACGGGAATAAAGACACAGACCCACTAGAGAATGGACTTGAGGATATGGGGAGGGGGAAGGGTAAGCTGTGACAAAGCGAGAGAGAGGCATGGACATATATACACTACCAAACGTAAGGTAGATAGCTAGTGGGAAGCAGCCGCATAGCACAGGGAGATCAGCTCGGTGCTTTGTGACCACCTGGAGGGGTGGGATAGGGAGGGTGGGAGGGAGACGCAAGAGGGAGGAGATATGGGGATATATGTATACGTATAGCTGATTCACTTTGTTATAGAGCAGAAACTAACGCACCATTGTAAAGCAATTATACTCCAATAAAAATGTTTAAAAAAAAAATGACTGCGTTTAATACCTGTCTCCACGGAGCTCAAATTCACTTTTACAGCTTGTTTGGGGGCAAGAAGGAGGATCCCAGCGCTGGTTACTTCCACTAAGTGCTTTCCTATTACTTCAGGCCCCGAACTAACAGGCTGCATGCAGCCTCCCTCCCAGTGCCCCAGGATCCAGTAAACAGACAAAGACCACACTGACTCCAGCCCAGCGTCTCCCCAGTGTAGGCAGGCATCTTTGCCAGTGGGTCAGGCTAACTTTGGAGAAGTCAGAGGATAGCCTTTTCAAGGGAGGCTGCATCTCTCCTTTCTGAAGATCATTGGCAGAATACAAACGGTTCTTTTAGCGGCTGTTTCAGGAGCTTGCTCGATCTACTTCACGGCACTTTTCAAACTCCTGAAAGAAAGAAGGCAGTGGGCCTGATTACAATTGCAAAAAGCTACGTTTAACCCAACAGTCTGGATGCACCGTGCACTGCCTGCGAACCATTTGCACGTGTGTATGATGTATAGTGGGAGGCCAGGCGGTACACCTGCTCGCAGGGGTGATGGATCTTTCTTTCTCTTGGATTCCTTTGACCCATTTTTCCTTTCTGCTGACAAGTTACTAGAGGCTAACTGATATATTCTTGAAAGAAAAATGAAAAACAAAAGGTCACCTGGGCTTCCCTGGTGGCGCAGTGGTTGAGAGTCCGCCTGCCGATGCAGGGGACACGGGTTCGTGCCCCGGTCCGGGAAGATCCCACATGCCGCGGAGCGGCTGGGCCCGTGAGCCATGGCGGCTGAGCCTGCGCGTCTGGAGCCTGTGCTCCACAACGGGAGAGGCCACAACAGTGAGAGGCCCGCGTACCGCAACAACAACAAAAAAAAAACGTCGCCTGATAGGATTACTAACCCATGATAAAAGGTCTATGTTTGTTTAGAAGATTGCTCAAGATTCCAGGTCTAAAAATCTCATTTAATCCCACAGAGACTCTCTCTTGGCCAGGGCTGATCCTGTCTCTACTCCATCCCTGAGCTGGAAAGCATCTCCCCACATCTCCCAAGAGGAAACAGAGGTCCTCAGTGCTTCCTGGGAAGTATGCTACTCATGTTTGTGAGTGAGCTTTGAGTGCATCAGCCCAAGTTACCAATGCACTGGTCTGGCTCCTGCGTAACCCATACGCAGACACCCTCCAACACCCAGTGAAAGACTTTTAACCTTGGGCTGCACTCTTAAAAGGCATATCCTTGAAAAAAAATGCCCGTGACATTGATTGTTCTAAGTTGCTAAAACTCATGTGATTTTAAGTTTGTTTCATTTTTCATAATTTATAAATAAACAAGTCTGATAAACATATCTGAACATGTAAAAGTTAATATTTTCTGAATCAAAATAAAGTACCAATTATAATGCTTATAATACTTTAAAGATGTCCAGTCAGTTCTTGCTAGCCAGCTGGTTACATAGCCAGCCTTACGTTTCACTGGAGCCCTCAGCCTAGGAAATGTGTTTACGGAACCCATAAACTTTCCATGAAATGCAAAACGTACACAATAGGAGCAAGTCTCTTCTCTCAAGTTTCCCTTTATGGCCCTGAGTTCCACTGTTTCAATTCCCTTGTGCCATGAAACTTGTTCTTGGACTCTGTTGCGGGTTCTCTGGTTGGACTCTTCCTGAATTCCTTGTACTTCCTCCCAGCCCTGTTCGCTCTGTTGGGTCACTCCCCCTCCCCCTCAAGGGCACAGTCTTCCTCACTCTGTTCTCTAACTGCTGCCGCTTATTATTATTGAAAGTATTGGGGTTTGGGATTTGCATGTGACAGTTCTACGTGGGTCGGAAAGGAGGAAAAACAGATCAACTTCTGCTCGTGGGCAAAGATAATTTAAACCACACCTGAAGCTGAGGGTGGTTGGCGTGGAGCCATCTCATGTATGGACAGGATCCTTCACAAGGGAAGTGAGTTTTGAACTTAAATGACCTAGAGAACGGACTTCCGCCAGGATAGTAGAACTAGCAGCTTTCTCCTCGTAAGTAGAGCTATGAAATCCGTTTAGGCATACCAGTGTGTAGTGAGAATAAATCACATTAACTGTTATGTACATCCTCTAAAAGTTACAATTTGGTGATGATATGTAATTTGTGGGTTTCAGTTTCAAAGCTGGTGTATTAAATGAGCTAAAACCCGACCTCGAGCTCAGATTTCTCCTTGGTCCAATACATCTCAAAAGAAAGGAAAAGAAAGTCTTAGGATGGCCTATAACAATTATAGTAAATATTCATCAAATACATACTATACATCACAAACTTACATATATATGAAACATATTTGCATGTCAGTACCTATAGACTTACTTGATTCTTTTAACAGCTTCATTCTATTGCATTTTTAAAAAGAAATTTACAAACTTTGGTGATAGAATGGGGAAATCGTGTCATGCAGAAAAAAACCCCTGCTTTTTAAACTCTGTATCTTGCACATTATATAAATACTTATTGAATTAACAGATACGTAAATTAATAAATCTTTATTGTCTTAAGTTAGAGTAATAATACCTTGACCTCGTGGCTACTGTTTGCGTTTTCACCCTCACTTTCTCATTAGAAGCTTTAAATAAGCCACAAGCTTTAAAATCCACACTCCAGGCTTTAAATTGATACAGTTTTCAATAGGACTATACATAACCTTTCTATAAGAGGTTAGGTTTGTACCTTTACACTGCAAAGAGCAAGTTTCCATAAAAAAATTTTTAAAATCACTTTGGCTTTGAAATGTTCTCTCCATCAACATCTGTAGTGGTTCCCCAAAGTTACAGAATTAATGAAATCTTTCTGCCCACAGCTTTTCCCTGCTATTGTGTCAAGAGTTTTGAAACTATTTCTATTTTACCATTTTTTAAAGGAAAAGAAAGAAAGAAAAGAAACATAATTGTTGTCTACTCTTTATGCCTCTGGAATAATCTGCGTTCTTCCTCACCTCCACCTTCCATCCCCTTCTCCCAACGAGGGATGGGGAACTCTGTTTGCATAGTTTCTTTTTATTCCATGTCACTGTAATGAGAGTCTCAGCAAGCATACTTTCCCTTGTGGAATTTGCTAATAAAAACAGACAGCCAGTTTTAAACAAGCAGCCCCGAGAATAGGAGACAAGCAGAAGCTGGGTGCAGGGAGCTGCTTTGCTTTTTACCTCTAGCCTCACAGATTGCCTTTTTCATCACATGCTCTTAGCCTGTGGGGCCGTAAGAGAATTTATAAAGCAATTTTGGATCCTTTGAAATAAAGGGAGCTAATTTGTCACAAGCTTTTGACAATTTCTTTGTTCAAGTATTGATACAATTTCCTACAGCAAGAGGATATTATCAATTTGTGCAGAGTCCTACCTGGACCTGAAATTCAACTGAGAAAGACACCCTCCCCTAATGACTCTCATTAACCAGTAGTGCTCCCGTTGCTACCTGCTTGCACAGAAACCCGAAGGCACTCCAGGTTTACCTACTGCAGGAGGAAGTGGTTGAGAAATCCATCTTCTTTTCACTGTGATGAGGTCATGAGAAACAAGCCATCCCGAGGAAGTGCTAGAGGTACTTCTGTGTCTCCCCAGCATCATCCCAGGGGCAAGCTGAACAGAGAGGTGATTGACGGGTAGTGGTGGAGACCTGCTGTTAGCGCATCCGTCTACCAGCTCCTGTGAAAATGAGCCCAGGAACAAGCAATAAGTCTAAGAGTCACCCAAGTGCTTCACGGCCTCACGGCCCACCACCCTCAGCCCCTTCCCTGCCTGCTACCCCCAAAGAAAGTTACATTTTGTCCCTATTTCATTTCCAATCCAACACAATTCCATTAAAAAAAAACTTACTAGTGGGGCAACACCCCTCCCCGCCCCCCAAAAAAAAAAAAATCCAGAGGATGATTCCACACTACCCTGACTCCCGGCCCTGGAGGTGTGGCCTTTATCCACCCACCTCGCCATTGTGATGCCTCCCCAGATGAACTCCTCCTCTATCCCGCCTCCTGCCTCAGTCAGTAGCATCCCTATTTCCCAAGCTGCTGGGAGCCGCCTTTGACCTCTCCTGACCTTCACTCCCACAACCATCTGGTCTCCAGTCTTCACCTTGTTACCTCCTAGACAGTTTCCAATCCTCTCTTCCTGTCCACCACCACACCCAGCAGTGCTGCCCAAAGAGTTGCGGCCAACTCCCAGTAATGCTCTCACGCTTCAGGACCCAGCAGAAATGGCATCTGTCTGAGCATCTTCTAGCAGCCGTCTGGGTGGAACCAGCTCTATGCTTCCCAAGCATTAGGCCTCTTGTTCCCTCACCATTGCCCCCTCCCCAATGGGACAGTGGACCTTGGTTGGGGAGGGCCGGTCGGAGGTGTCCTGGTAAGTGGCCAGGGACTTGGAACATCCCAGGCACTACGGGCCCTCGCTCCACAGGGGGATATCTGTTTCCTCAGTGGAGCTGTGTTCAACTCTTGCTGCGTACACACCTTTTGCAAAGCCCAGTTCAGTGATGTGGCAACTAAATGCTTTAGCCCTCGGGGGCAAGAATCTCCTCTTTTTTTTCCTTCTGTCACGTTAGATTCCTCTGTTAATATGTCTAACATAACTGGGTTCTGAAAATCTCCTTTCTCCTCTCCTCTGTCATCAGGGAGCTGGTGACTGATAACTGCCTCACTGTCTCAGGCTGCTCGGCTTCTTCCCCTGCGGGTGGAGATAAAGAAGGCTGTCAGAACTCTTCAGGGATGCCAACTCTTGCCCTCACCCTCTGCCTGCCAGAAGATGGTACATGGTCCACAGAGGCTCCCCTTCCCTAAAAATTCAATCCACTTCCTTTTTTGGCCAGATCACCCTCCATCATCCCAGATGTGGTCACACTGAAAATGTCCACAAAGCTCTGACTGGCACAGATTTTCAAGGAACGTGGATAGAGACATAATGGGAGGAGAAGCGTCCCCTTCTTACACTAGCCTGGCGACCCCAGGAAATGACTTACCCCTCCGCGTCGCCGTCGCCTCCTGTGTAAAATGAGGATAATAATAGGTTTTACCTGACGGAATCGTAGGGGGATCAAACGAGTCTGTATTTGTAAAGCACACAGTAAGCTCTATCTAAGTGTTTTACAAGCTAAAAACAGCTGCGGGATTTCTCTTATCCTGACGCTTTCTTTTACTTCAGCATATTTTCAAACAGGAAAAATACACAATAAGTGGCACAGTGCGGGCGCTGCCCAGCGTTGGGGGTCTTGACTGCTCTTTGACGCACCGATGTCTGAATTCATATTAATACAGCCCTGGCCACTCTGTGGAACAACGCAGATGATTTTAGCACAAAACCAGCACTGCACGAAGAAACCCAACCACGCACTAACCTGACGGGAGAAAAGTCACAGATCGATGATATACTAACGTTTCTTGAGCACTTACCCTGCGCCAAGCAATAGCATCAGGGCTTTAGATAATTTACTTCACTTGCATCTTGTAACCACCTAATGAGGTAGGTAACACTATTAGCCCATTTCACAGATGAGCCATAACTTGGGGTTTAAAAAGGAGAAGCAGCCTGCCATGGTCACAGAGCTAGTGGTCAGCTGACCCAGAGTAGATGGGCCTCACCACCAATCATATGGGGAAGACAGGACTCTTTGTTTTATTAATGAACTCCTTTCTATTTTGAAAATATAGTGCATGCTTTCTAAGTTAATTGTCATCCTAACGACATGGATGCTCATCGAATATTGCCTGTTGATGATCATGATGACCTCGCGCTCAGCCACACTGGGAAGCTGGCCACGGCCTTCCTTGTTCCTTCCTCACCTCTCCTCTAGGTCCAGGACAGAAATCACACAACAAAAATCTGCCAGCTATTGCTAAGAGCTTAAGCTGTGAGCTGAACTTTCTTGGGAGATATTTGTGCTTTAATTGTAAAACGGACGACACCTTCAAGAAGCAAAGGAATGATGCCACATGATGGATCTCAGACACCTGTACAAGCAATCTGACCGAGGAGGCCTCCCCGGAGCCCTTCAGTCACCCCAGCAGATTGACCCTGATGGTACACGTTTGTATGAGAAAACACTGTAACTCACTAACTCCCTTCCTGGTGAGACCTTGACCTGTTTGTTGTGGTTGTTGCTTTTGTTGGTTGTTTTACTGCAAAGTATACTTGGTTGTAAACTGTATCTGTTTCCTCAGTTGGTGCGAATTCTGACTTGAGCCAATTCAGGCTAGCTTCATGACACAAGAACCAGGAGAGCAGATAAACTCGGGGAACTGCTACATGGAGAGAAGCACATCAGGGTCGCCCAGATGCAAAGGTGACATGAAAGCTTACCTTTGTAAGGAATATAATACGAGCTCAATGCCTGAGTTAACATAAAATATGGGGACAGGTACAGAAATCTAATTGTCTTTCCTTTTCCATAATTGGTCTCAACATTAAGTTCAAACCCCATTTCCAGTTTGTAGTTGTACTCGTTTGCTAAGGCTGCCCTAAAAAATGTCCACAAACTGGGTGGCTTTAAACAACAGAAACTTATTGTCTCGTAGTCCTGGAGGCCAGAAGTCTGAAATCAGAGTGTCTGCAGGACCATGATCTCTGCGAAGGCTCGAAGGGAGAATCTGTTCCATGCCTCTCTCGTAGCTTCTGGTGGTTGACTGTAATCCTCGGACCTCCTGGGCTTGTAGGAACATCACTCCCTTCTCTGCCTCTGTCGTCACGTGGAATCTCCCATTGGGTCTCTGTCTCTCTTCTTTTTCTTCTTGCTTTTTAATGATTTGGTTTTCTTGTTTGTTTTTCGGTTTTCTTTTTTTTTTTGGCCACACAACACAGCTTGTGGGACCTTAGTTCCCTGATCAGGGATTGAACCTGGGCCCTTGGCAATGAGAGCACAGAGTGCTAACAACTGCACCACCAGGGAAGCCCTCTTCTCCTCTTCTTAAAGGGACACCAGGGCTTTCCTGGTGGCACAGTGGTTAAGAATCCGCCTGCCAATGCAGGGGACACGGGTTCGAGCCCCGGTCCGGGAAGAGCCCACATGCCGCGGAGCAACTAAGCCCGTGTGCCACAACTACTGAGCCCTGGTCCAGGAAGATCCCACGTGCCGCAGAGCGGCTGGGCCTGTGAGCCATGGCCGCTGAGCCTGCGCATCTGGAGCCTGTGCTCCGCGACGGGAGAGGCCACAGCAGTGAGAGGCCCGCATACCGCAAAAAAAAAAAAAAAAAAAAAAAAGGGACACCAGTCATATTGGATTAGGGCCTACCCTAATGACCTCATCTCAGCTTGATTACCTCTGCAAAGACCATCTTTCCAATAAGGTCACATTTACAGGTACCAGGCCTTCAACATATCTTTTGAGGAGACATGATTCAATCCAGAACAGTTGTGGAAAAAGAAATCTCGCCCCCAAAGAAATTCAGTCCCTTCCAGCTTAAAAATCTAATCTCTTTCTGATATTTAGTTTTCCTCAGTTCCTGATCTCTTTTCTTCTCTATAGCCGTAAGTAGTTCCAGGAGGAGGCTGGGTGTGGGTCAGGCCAGTGCTCTCAAGAAGCAGGGCCAAGCCGGCCTGGGTGAGGGATGCACTTGGCGGACTTGCCCCAGTCCTCTCCAAGTCTGTCTTGCCTGGACCTGGGCATCGACCTTGGTCTTCGTAGCAAACACTGCCATCACCCGTCCCACCATGGACGTCCATCAATAGGACTCCACAGACTGTGTCCTCCTTCTCTCAACTGGGAGGCCTCCCCCCATCTGCCGGGCTATTTTCAGCCCAGCTCTGTGCTTTGCTTTGAGGAATAGACAGGTTTTGGAAGTCCCCTTCCACCGCACTTGGGGCCCTTGGGCACACAGGACTTGAGAGCTGTCCTCTGGCTATCAGTCTAGCTTTTTATTTTTCTTTTTCAGTTCACTGCTCCACTAGATGGGGACTTCCCAAAGTTTCTGTGGGCTAAACCGGAGGGACACGCTTGGGGATCCCCAAGCTTTTCTCTGGTTTATTTTTTGCCCATCCCCAGGGACAAGGCCCAAGGGTCAGAGGGCAGAACCCCACACAGCATTTCTCATCCTGCCTTTATCCCAGCTCCACACCAGCTCAGCCCCAGCCCAGGAAAGGTGTTTCTCTGCTCTGTGTGGGCACATGGCCCTTAAGATATCAGACATCCTTCTCTATTCTACAGTTTTCCTTGGAAATACCCCAAACCAACAGTCTCATTTTTTTTTTAATTTCTTGGCCACGCCCTGCAGCGTGTGGGATCTTACTTCCCTGACCAGGGATTGAACCCATGCCCCCTGCAGTGGAAGTGTGGAGTCTTAACCACTGGACCGCCAGGGAGGACCCCCCCACCTTTTTTTTTTTTTTTTTTTTTTTTAAACCAACAGTCTCATTCTTGACGTTTTGCTTCTGGAGATAAAGGAACAGCTTATATTAGACTAACCCTTCTGATGCAAACAGCTAGCAGGAAATCCAGATGAGCACACACTCACATGCTTGGGAGTCATCAAAGAGCTGCCCAGACACTGAAGTCTTAGACCAAAATCCCTGAGAAAAGGGAATTTTGGAGAGAGGAGCACAATGTTTGGATTCCTTTACCCCTTGAGGCATTTTCCACTCACTAAGCTGCCAAGACAGCCAGAGAGAAGGTATCTGTTGTGATAAGGATCCCATAAAGGTCTGGTATCCAGAATATATATAAACGCTGATGAATCAATTAATTAAAAAAAAAAAAAAAAAAAAAAGTAAAAGTCGGACTTCCCTGGTGGTGCAGTGGTTAAAAATCTGCCTGCCAATGTAGGGAACAGGGGTTCGATTCCTGGTCTGGGAAGATCCCACGTGCCGCGGAGCAACTAAGCCCATGCGCCACAACTACTGAGCCTGCACTCTAGAGCCCACAAGCCACAACTACTGAGCCTGCGCTCTAGAGCCCGTGCTATGCAACAAGAGAAGCCACCGCAATGAGAAGCCCGCGCCCCACAACGAAGAGTAGCCCCTGCTCGCTGCAACTAGAGAAAGCCCACGGGCAGCAACGAAGACCCAACATAGCCAAAAATAAATAAATGAATAAATAAATTTATATTAAAAAGTCATTGCAATTAAAAAATAGGCAAAAGATTGGACATTTACTACACAATAGAAGATATTCAAATAGCTAATAAACACTCGAAAAGATGCTCCACCTCAGGCATAAGGCCACAAAGAGACTCCATTACGTACCCTCCAAATGGCTAAAATTAAAAAGACGATAATATCGGGCTTCCCTGGTGGCGCAGTGGTTGAGAGTCTGCCTGGCGATGCAGGGGACATGGGTTCGTGCCGCGGTCCAGGAAGATCCCACATGCCGCGGAGCGGCTGGGCCCGTGAGCCATGGCCGCTGAGCCTGCGCGTCCGGAGCCTGTGCTCCGCAACGGGAGAAGTCACAGCAGTGAGAGCCCCGCGTACTGCAAAAAAAAAAACACGATAATATCAAGTGTCAGCAAGGACACGCGTGAGTCTCATAAATTGCCGGTGGGAGTGTAAATTCATACAAACACTTTGGAAAAACTTTTTGACAATAACCACAAAAACAATAGCTGCAATGACCCAGCAATTTTTCCCCAGTCTATACACCTAACAGAAATGCACTTAGAGTGTGCCTAGTGTGGGTGTGAGAATGTAGCATCATTACTTGTATGAAATAGACCAAATGAGAAACAATTCAAATGTCCCTCAACAGTAGAATGGATAAATCAAGTGTGGTATATTTATATTATGGAATACTGTACAGCATAGTAAATTAATCAACTCATGTATGAATCTTACAAACGTGATGTTGAGAGAAAGAAGGCAGACATAAATTAATAGGTACTAGGTGGTTCCAATTATATAAAGTTCAAAAATAGGTGAAACTAATTTACCATGTAGGAGTCAGGAGAGTGGTTACCCTGGTGACTGTGAAGGGCAGGGAGAAGGGAGGAGTTCTGGGAATGTTCTATTTCTTGAACTGGACTGTGGTTCCACAGGTGTGTTTATTTGAGTAAACCCACAAAACTGTAACTTATGTCCAGTGCATTTTCTGTATTTATGAAACTGTAATGAAAATATTGTTTAAACAAACATTTTTCACATAGACTCTTAACATTGAAATTTAGAGCTATCGCTCCTAGTACATCTCGTCTTTGTGTAAAACAGGATATAAGCATCATTAAGACTGAAATTGTGGAGATTCCCTGGTAGCGCAGTGGTTAAGAATCCACCTGTCAGTGCAGGAGACACGGGTTCGACCTCTGGTCTGGGAAGATCCCACATGCCGCAGAGCAACTAAGCCCGTGCATCACAACGACTGAGCCTGCGCTCTAGAGCCCGTGTGCCACAACTACTGAAGCTTGTGTACCTAGAGCCCACGCACCGCAACGAAGAGTAGCCTCCGCTCACCGCAACTAGAGGAAGCCGTGCACAGCAACAAAGACCCAACGCAGCCAAAAATAAATAAATAAATAATAATTTTAAAAAAGATGGACATTGCTTTTTAGGTCTAATAATTAGACAGGGTAATATTTGCCTTCAGGCAAGTCCTGCTCAAGTTGATCACCTTCAAGTTGAAAGTCTTGAGGTGGGATTCATAAATCAACCCACCTTCTTGAGCTCACCTCCAGACTTTACTTGTTTTAATTAGGTACGAATGTTCTTTAATTCTTCCTAGAGTCAATCAACAAAGGAATTATTCTTCCGTGAAAAACAGACTTGCTCTCGCAGTGTTTTTTGTTTTTGTTTTTCAGTTTGGAGAATACAAAGACAGCACTTTTTTTTTTTTTTTTTTTTTTTTGCGGTATGCGGGCCTCTCACTGCTGTGGCCTCTCCCATTGCAGAGCACAGGCTCCGGAAGCGCAGGCTCAGCGGCCACGGCTCACGGGCCCAGCCGCTCCGTGGCATGTGGGATCTTCCCAGACCGAGGCACGAACCCGTGTCCCCTGCATCGGCAGGCGGACTCTCACCCACTGCGCCACCAGGGAAGCCCCCGACAGCACATTTTTATTCAGGGTCTTGCTCGAGGCCGAGGATCATCACTCCTCCTCCAGACACCCAGATCTTTCTTGTCTCGTAAACTTACTTTCCTTTGTACCACTCACTCCTTTGCCACTTAGAACCCTCCTGGCATTGTCAGCTGCCTTTTAATACTGTATCCCATCTTGGCCACAGGGACTGTAGCATCCTGAAAGGCAGAGCGCACCTCACACCACTTTTTTTTATATATATAAATTTATTTATCTTTTTATTTTTGGCTGCATTGGGTCTTCGTTGCCGTGCAGGGGCTTTCTCTAGTTGCCTCGATCAGGGGCTACTCTTCGTTGCGGTGCGTGGGCTTCTCATTGCAGTGGCTTCTCTTGTTGTGGAGCACAGGCTCTAGGTGCGCGGGCTCAGTAGTTGTGGCGCACGGGCTTAGTTGCTCTGCGGCAGGTGGGATCTTCCCAGACCAGGGCTTGAACCCGTGTCCCCTGCATTGGCAGGCGGATTCTTAACCACTGCGCCACCAGGGAAGTCCATGTCACACTACTTTTTAAATGCCACCAGCCTTGGTGGTATCTTGTGCAGTCACTGCCTAGGATTATTAGCTGTCGGATGGATAACAACCCATTTTTCCTTCCTGATCTCTGGAGGGGTGAGGAAGGAAGCACAGGAACAGCCTTAGGTTAGTTGAATATTTTTAATATAAGAACTTGTCACACTGCATGGAAGTGACCTAAGTGCCCATCAACAGATGAATGGATAAACAAGATGTGGTACATATATACACACACACACAGTACAGTATTACCCAGCTGTAAAAAAGAATGAAATCATGCCATTTGCAACAACACGGATGGACCTAGAGA